GGGAAAGAGAATAATGGGAGGAGGACCCATGATACCATAACATCAAGCTGTTAAGAAGTTCTGGCACATGCATTTCCAGTGAACACATAAAATTGTTTTTATGACACACGAGGAGTGAAATTCTAGGAAAGATTCAAATTGGTTAGCATAACCTGATGGACAGGGATTAGGAATTTTCTCCATGCATTGGGGGCTATACAAATAATTTCATAATTCTACCTTAGCACTCAGCGTGACTATTGCAACCTCTCTTACATCACCACATGGACAGTCTATACTCTCATCATTCTTACTGAGACAGACAGAGAAAGAGAGAGAATGGAAGAGAGAGAAAACGTTACTAACTCAAACCTCAAGTCTTCCTTCTTTGAATAAATATACATGACTGATTTTCTGGGTACAAGGTTACTCAGAAATCCTCTGTGGTGGGCAAGTTTGGGTTCAGCAGAGGGTATTAACTCAGAGATCAGCATTGTGCACTTGTGGATAACCTTCCTTCAGACCTGAGCTGGCTGTGCTGATGGAGTTTACAATGGCTCTGCACGCTGGCAGAAGCTTATCCACAAAGTGGCTGGTCTGCCCATGCATAAAGGGAAGTCGACTGCACAAGCACCCTCCTAGTTAAAATCACTTATTTCTTTCAGTTCCAGCATTCCCCTTTAGCATTTAACCTGAAAGCACATTACTCTTAAAACCAGGAACCAATTTAATTACTCTACTTCACACATTTATTTATTTTTTTAAGAAAATAAAACCCAATCATACAAGTAAAAACCAACCAAGTATCAATATCGAGCCCCTCTCTACTGTCAGAATGGATGGAGAAAGACATGAATACATTTTTACACCAATCTATGCTAGAAAAAAATCTCCCATAATGTAATCCAAACAGATGGTCAGAAATGATAAAGTTTCTGCAGTTGAACAATTTAATGCTGATCTTCAGTAAGTAATAAATGTATACTCCTAGCCTGCCTTAACTGCAATGTAAATAATTCAAGCCTTAAAGAACTGAAAGGAAACTGTTGTAAGTTTAGCTGTGGAGACTACACAGGAGTTACTGTAGCTCTGCTATTCCAAGTGAGCTGTTAAGAGTGATGAAGCAACCACTTATAAACTTCTGTTCTTACCTACAGAGGACCAAGGTGCATAGAGATGATGGCCAAAGGGATCATTAGGACTAATTAGTCATACCTCTTTTGTATAGGACAATAAAATTTCCCTCCATAGTTCCTGCATAAATCCTTAATTTATGGCTGAGCTATGGCATAATTTTTAGATAAATCATTCCAACTCATAGTTCACTTTCACTGGTAAATGGATCTGAATCTATTTACCATGCAGCATTCAGACTTCGTAACCTTTAAAGTTACTGAAGTGTTGTCTACTCAAAGAGGTCTTCTTTCCATGTGCATTCTTGAATACTAGTTAACTTACAGCCTAAGCTTTCCAAGATTTTTACTACATTGATATAAGTGATACCAGAGTCTAAGCTCCAAACATCTAGGGCTACAAGAGACGGGATGAAAAGTAGACTGGAAATATTGCGAAAAATATATGACATATATATTACATAGGTTTTTTATATTAAGGAAAGCTGACAAGGAAAAATAGAGGTACTCACCACTCATTTTTACAATTAGCCGTTTAATATACATTTCATTCCATAAACAGACTGCATGACACATAAATAGACTGAACTCCATTGACAAATATACCAATATGTATATTTTTTAGGTTTTTTTCTAAATATATTAATGAAAAAACGAGATATGCAAGACTTTGAAGAAAAATACAAAACATATTTAATTCTATATAAATATATTTTTTCTGAAAATGTCAATAAAATCAGTGATAGAATATATAGAGAACATATTTGATATTATTACTCCAGTCTCCTCAGTAAGGAGCTCTGGGTTTATCAAAGATGCTTAACACAGCTGAAGAAGCTGTTGATACTAATCTTCACAATAAAACTAACTTGATCTCATTATTTGAAGTATATAAACATATAAACATTTGGGAAATTTCATCAGTGAAAACTGAACTCCTGTTATTTAATTTAAAAAACAAACTCCCTCTATATAGGTGTAAGCAAATACTGAAGTCTACCTCTCCTGTTCTTGCTTCATTCGTATTCTCTCCTCTTCTGAAGTAAGAGCTTCCTGCACTTTTATTTTACCAGTTTTCTCACTCTTGTCATCTTTGCGATGTTTGCCAAACCTGTTAATAACACACAAAAAAAGAATCTAACTTGTGAAATGAACAAAACCATATTTTCCTTTTCCTATGACAAAGAGAGTCCTCCAAAAAGGGCTGCTTGGAAACCAGGAAGGGAAAGTGCAAAGTCCTCAGAATCTCAATTTTTAATATTTTCAGGCTGCTGGGGTTTTTTTGTTTGTTGTTTTTTTTTTTTTGTATGTGTGTGTGGAGTTTTTTTTTTTATTTTTATTTCACTCCTCTTAAAAGTTTATAGAATTCCTTGCTAAAGAACAAAACAAAACAAAATAATAGGACCACATTCCTTTTTTCTGCCAGGATTTTGGGGTCACTGTTCTTAAATACATGGTCAAACAATGTTTTAGAAACTACTCAACACTCTCACTGCCAAAGAACGCAAGTCAAGTTTACATTAAGTGAAGCCTTCGTGTATGAAGTGCAGGAGACACCGCACTGTACGTCTGACAACTGCCCAGAGCACAGTGCCACCCTCCGTCCCTGCCCCACCAGCAGCAGTTTCACCACAAATGGACACCACCCAAAAATGGAAATTTATTTATTTTCAACACCAAGGTTTTTTTAAACTGTGTTACTCATGACTTTTTTCCCGAGGGTGTTTCATTGTACAGAGGACGAGTGGAGGGATGGAGCTGGCTAGGCTGTCCCAGACAGAGCAGGATGCTGCCAGCCCAGTGTTCGCCTTCCTCATGTTTCCTGTTCCCCTCTACTGGCTACATTTCAGGTTTTTTTTGGTTTCTTTCATACTTGCACATTCCACTGTTTTCTTTCAGACTTTCAGGGAGAGCACAACCTGACATTTGAGATACTCTGTTATTATTAGGGGAAAATTGAATGTATTTCTGAGATATTTCAGACCTATTCAAAAAGGAACAACTTTTGTATAGAGTGAACTGAACAAACACTTAAATACAGCCCTTAAATATATCTAAGTTTAGGTGACTATTTTCTATATAAGGCAGAGGGATAACACATATCTATTAAACAATATCTTATTACAATACATACCTATTAAATGTGGGATCATTCATCACACCGAAAGCAGCAAGAATTTGACTCGGTTTTAATAGCATGCTCAGATGAGAGCAGCCTGTCACTGGTGGCACTTGACACTCAGGTTCACTTTGAAAGTGAAATAAAAACACTGAAATGTGCAAGGTCCAATGACAGTGGGTCAGGACACCCCAAACACTCACAAACAGTGAATAAAACACAGAGTTCTGAAAACTTTCTTCTGACCCACAAATGTAAACTGTTTAAAATATGTAGAGTTCACCAGGCATTTATAGTATTTTCCCTTTTGTTCCTGTTGATTCTAGTACAAAGCCATTGTGTGGGCTGAAGACATACCACAGCAACCCTGCAGAAAGATTAATTTCTGACCACTCAGTCAAGAGATATTACTATGCTGTGTAACCATGTTTATGGCTCTTAGGGCAACTGTTTAAAAAGACAACACAAAAGCACAGTGTAGGAGTGTGTACACAAACTTTTAAGTGCATGGCTGTTCTCCACAGTTCTCAGATTGCTCATTTCCAAAGTAATTCAGGCATAAGAAAACCAAAATTGTTCATTAATAAGCATCTGAAAAGGGAAAGGCAGAGTATATGAAACAGTTAAGAAACAAAATGCTACATGAAGTCTCTGATTTTATAATACGTTGTATGTAAAACTGACATTAAATTCAGTGACTAGAAACACCAGCATGTATCTTTTAAAGCATCCAACTATTTATTAGAGTGCAGTCAAAATGATTATACAAAACATTTTCATATATGACACAAGAGATTCAAATCAAGCTCTGGATGTCATACACCAGACAAAAGAAAATGGTTAATTTAAAATAGCCCTTAATCCTCTAGCCAAGAGAGGAGCTTTGGCAGAAAAACAGTGGAACTGAGCCATTTCACCCTGATACACGGAGTGCTGGGGGTGGCAGAGGTCTGACTGACAGAACACACAGAGCTGTGAGGCGACACACAACATATGTGGTACTGTAGCACAGCATCTCTGCGACGCCTGTGTTTGCTTCTGTCTCCTGTTCTTTCCTGACCCATTCAAATGGTCAGGCAAAGCAAAGGAACCAAATTCTGGAGTAGCCAGTTTGTTTTTGAAAAAGAACTAGTGGTTAAATTATTTTTTTTTTAAAAAAGTAAAAATAGAATTAGTCACATTCAGGTTTTGGTAGGAAAACAGACGTGGTACCACCATAAATCAATTCATTGCAAGTATGGACAGAAATATATTGAAATCAATACCTTGTTAAAAAAAAAAATAAAGTACACAGGAAATTTCTAATAAACCTTGTTAGCAATCTAGTAAATACCTGGTCAGGCTGCATGATTGCGGGGAAAATACTTCTAATGTTAACATGTAATGCAAACCTAGCAAAAATAAATGGTTTGAGTTTCCTGATCCAACCGTCCAAGTCCAGAACAAACCACCCTTGTGCTGTGTTTCAGCAGAGGCAGAGGTGGGTTTACCGCACAGGCAGCGCTCGGAGCAGCACGAGGGTTCAGTTTGTTCTCACTCAAGAGCAAGCTGTGGCAAGTACCCTTCTTTTCTTTCAGGGTTTTCTTCCAAGCCTCTGGGAATTAATGTTCCTTCTGGTCTTGGGGACAGTCCTGATAAAGATTCCAGAAGACATCTCTAGTCCTTTCCCAGGCAATTCAAAGCGTGGCCACATTGTCTCCACTCTGACCGGAGACTTTCCAGTGCCCATCTCTGACAAACTCTCTGATCATCCTGGCAGTGAACAGCCTGGCAGAGTATGAACCATGGTGGTCTTGCAAAGTTGCCTTCTCTGGGCTTTGTCACCCGCAGAGTGATATATCTGCCATAATCACCACTGCCTGTAACAAGTTCAGCAACATTAACTGCACTGTCCCTGCACTCAAACCCGGAATAATCAATGCCATCCTCCCCCCTCCCTGATTGTGGCTTTGTGTCTATAACAGCATCACCTGCACAGATATTATCTCCATGATACTCATATGTCATGAACCAGCAGAACAGTTTGGAAACACACAGCCCCTAAGTGAGGCTGGCTCTGAACAAGTCTGCATACTTTTAGCAAGATCTCCATATAGAAATACTTACAAGTTCAAGATTTCTCTTTTCCACCGAGATTTCAACTCTAACAGTATCTCTGTTAAGCTTCAGCTTACAATAGTAGAAGTAATAGACAAACAAAGAAAAAAAAATTTCCAGGCTCCACCAAACACTTGAGAAAGGTGTTTAAAAGAACTGTGATGGGGACACATATGTACACATATCCATACATCTCACACCTTTAATTTCTGTAGAAGCAGTTAACACTTCCCACTCCAAACATCATTCAGAGATTTTGGTAAGATTACTCTCACTAAGTGTGCTTGTTACCTATTTCTATTAAAAGTGTTTGCTCCGTGAAGTACAATGTATAGTAATAATGAAACCCTCAGCCAAAATCAGTGGCCTCTCTACCAAACTTATAACAGACATTTAGAAATTACTTAACATTCATGCCAAGTTTAAGTACAGAAAAAAACATACAGGGATACTAAGACACACCATTAGAGCAAGCTGTTAAAGATTCCCTCAGCTGTACAACTCTTTGTGCTGTGGTGACTACACTAGTGTCAAACTACTCAAAATCACCAGTCCTTCCAGTTTCCTCACGTGGATGTTTCTGATGCTGATTTATGATTCTTAAGTAAAACAGGACACTTAGAAACAAAAATGAGAGTACTGAGATCACTGACATTCAAGCAGTCCTTTCTAAACACCAAACGTCCATCCTACAGCCACCCTACACCATCTTCGCAGCCCATGGTAAAGCCCTGCCTTGTTGCTCTCCAGTGGTCAGTGGACTCTCCACGAGTCAAAAGAAGCAAAGCTTGGGTAAGGTGCCCAGAATTACTGCCAATGTTTAAAATCTTCCAGTTTGAATGCATCAGCCCAGAGAAAAGATCTGTCTTACCTTTGTAAAAGTTTCACCTTCTTAAATGTGGAACTGGTACAGTCCCTGACTTGCCCCACAATTAAATGTGTGACACCTTTCCCACAGCGCACTGGCATTTGCATCACAGTGAAGCTTAATTCTTTATTGCTCAGGCACTAAAAAGGAAGGGATGATGAAAGTAGGATGCATGTCCCATACATGAACCCTTGCAACTTAGGAACCTTACTGCTTGCAGTGCTACTTCTTTCATAATGCATAGACCGGATGTCCTGGCACACCCATGTAGTAACTTCCCCCACTAAAGAGACTGCTCATCTAATCGTAACAGCCTAAGGCTGGAAACTCCCAAAGTGCAATTGTTAACCATATCTCTCCCTTGTAAAATAGCAATCAGCACCCATTTTTCCTGTGTCAGAGACACTCTAGACTTTTGCAAGGACATGGCCTTGAGGATACTGCTAAGTGATTTGATCCCAAGCCTCGCAGCTCACTTCACAGGCTCAGGAGCTGCTCTCCCTGCGGGCAGCTGGTTAGCAAATGCCTGAAGCACCTGGAGATTTTCAGGCACTTGTCTGAACCTGTGATGGTCTTGTTCTCATTGCTGAGAGCCTAGCGGCTGGGATATTTGTTGCAGTTCTTACAAATGCAAATGAAATTACAACTTGCCTTCTGAAGCAGACGAGAACTCCATGGCTTGGGATCTGTGCCCCATCAATGCTCCTTGCATTACAGAAAAGAAGGGCAGCATTTACAAACAAAGGCAAAAACTACGGTTGGAATTCAAAACCAAAACAGTGCAGAAAAGGAGCATCTGTGACACTGATGTTCAGACAATCCTGAGAATCTAATTCCAAGCTCCTGTCATTTGCTAAATTCTGTGCCAACAATGTGACTGTGAGCTGTTAAAGCCCTACCTAAATCAGCGGTGGAAAAAAAGGAGCAAAAGGGAACAGGACATTTTCCCCAAATCCCATATAATAATTTCAAAATTGCCTGTTAATAAACATTCTCTTTCATAGACATAGTTTGAGGGTACATTTCT